CACGAAGGAGGAGGTCGTTTTTGTCTACTTCTACGAAAAGCGACGACGAGCGAGGACTTTGCCTCGCTCGAGAAAATGCCCGTCAACCTTGTCGGCCGCGCCCGCATCGTCAAGACCCAGGACCCCAAGATCGCCGAGCGCTACAAGATTACCACCTTCCCGCGCCTTCTTGTCTCGCGCAGTGGCCGCCCGACATATTACAACCCGCTGACGCCTCGTGAGATGCGTGACGTCGAGGGCATCCTCGCCTGGATGCGCTCCGTCTGGCTGCCCATGGTCCCCGAGCTGGTGGCCACCAACTCGCGCGAGATCATGGATGGCAAGATTGTCGTTCTCGCCATCATCAACCGCAACGACGCCGAGACGCTGACGGACGCCAAACGCGAGCTCAACAAGGCCGCCAACGACTGGATGGACAAGCAGATTGTTCTCTTCCAGAAGGAGCGCCAGGAACTCCGCGACGCCAAGCAGCTCAAGATCGACGAGGCCGAGGACCGCGGCGACGAGCGCGCCAAGGACAACGCCAAGCTTATCCGCGTCGACATGTCCAAGAGCCCCCGTAAGGAGGTTGCTTTTGCCTGGATCGACGGCGTCTTTTGGCAGCGGTGGATCAAGACGACATACGGCATCGACGTGAGCACCGGTGGCAACCGAGTCATCATCAATGACGAGGACGTGAGTTCCCCCCCCCCCCCCTTTGGCACTCCTTTCCCAATGTCTACCGGGATCCCATCATGCCGCACACAACAAAAAGGACTTGCTGACGAGACTCCAGCGCCATCGCTACTGGGATGTGACCGACACCAACACCAACATTCTCCTTTCCCACACATCCATCCTCGACATGCTTCCCAAGGTGACGGCCTCGCCGCCCGAGATCCGCGCCAAGACGACCCTCTCCTTCATCTCCAAGCTCTTCTTCGATTTCCGCATGTCGTTTGTCGACCACCCCTTCCTGTCCGTTGGCGCTGTCCTCGCCGTCATGTTCGCCGGCGCCGGATGGGTGCGCAACCGCATGCGCCGTCACCGCGGCGGTCACTTTGTGCGTCTGGACGACAGCTGGAGCACCAAGGAGCTCATGAAGGAGGGTCTCATCGGTGGGGGGCCCAGCGGCAACGGAAAGGTCGACTAAGACGGGGTCAGAAGGGGAGGAGCTGCTGTTCGGGACGACATTGTGCATTAATGGGCTTTTGCGGAGTTTATAGGGGTTCCGGATAGTTTCTGAATATTCCTGTTTGTGTCATATTCGTTCGTGTCATCATTTCGTGACGGCCTGCCTTTCTTCTTCTCCTCTCATTTTATTTGAATTCTCTCTGGCAAGGCACGCCCTCGGCCTGCGTGTGCTCTACCGGTCAACCCTGCCCAAACGAGCCGCCCCCCCCCTCTGCCTGCCATCCGCGACGTGCCCTCGCCGGAGAGGCATGCACCAGCCCGCCGTCTCACGTGTAGAGTTCCTGCGTGAAGCTGTTGAGCTGGAGGCCCTCAATGGCAATGTCGGGCACGTCGATGAGGAACTTCAGCGGCATCTCGACGAGGTTGCCCCTGACCCTCGACAGCCACTCTTTGACCTCGGCGACGCCGCCGGGGAACTCCTCGGTGACGACGTGGCCGTACTCGACCTTGCCGTCGCCGGGCTTGCCAGTGCCGGGGTTGGCAAAGTGGCGGGAGAAGAACTCGTCGTAGTCCTTCCAGGTGCGGACGTGGTCGTTGGGCACACAGTGGAAGACCTTGCTGAAGACGTCCGTGTTTGTGCGCGCCGTGCCGTCCCAGAGGTTTCCAAAAAATTGCGTGACATGGGGTCGCGGACGAGGGCGTCGGCGGGCGAATTCCAGTCGTAGGCGTTGAGGCCTCGGTCGACGGGCGACCAGTTGCCGTGGGGGTCGGGGCTGTCGCAGCGCTGGTGCGGCAGGAGGCCGAGGTGCTTGCGGAAGATGTGGCGGCGCAGGCTGGCGGCGAAGCGCGAGGCGGCGTACGGCGCGCCGTCCATGTATGAGTCGACCGTGACGGGGTCCTCGATGACGACGGCAATCTCCGAGTCGTGCGAGCCCAGCTGCGAGCGGTCGTTGAGGTTGGCTGAGCCGCAGATGACAAGCCGGTCGTCGGCGATGAGCAGCTTGGTGTGCACGTAGAGCTGCTCCGTGACAAAGGCCGAAATCTCGGCTTCCGGGTCGCCCTTCCAGGGGACGGAGCGCAGGTCAGGCCCGACGTTCATGTAGCACGCCGATACGCTGTCCCAGGTCGAGTCGTCCAGCTGAGCGGCTGCTTGCTGGTAACGCTCGTACTGTCCCTGGCCCTGGCTCTGCTGCTCGCCGTAGGGGGCGTATCCTGAGCCCAGAGCGTCGTCGCGCTCCTTTCTCGCGTCCTCGTACGAGACGCCGCTCTGCTTCTCGGCCTCCTTCATAGTCGACGACACATTGATACGGTCGTAGCTTCGGAGGTTGTAGAATCGAATGTAGCGACCGACATCCTCGACGCCTTCTTTCTGGAGGGTCTCCAGGATGCTGTAGCCTCCTTGGCTAATGGACTTGTACTGGAATTCCATGATAGCACGCGTGCCTAGCGCATCGTCCGCCTTGAGGTCGCCGGCGAACGCAGGGACCGCAGGCATAATGACAATGATTTTGAAGTTCTCGCCGGCCTCATGAGCACGGAGGATGCGGTCCACCATGGCGCGACCGATCTTGTTGCTGACGGGGCGCTGTTCATCGCAAGTTGCCGTAATGAAGAACTGAAGCCAGGTCAGCAATCACGGTCAAATAGGTTTGTCAGTACCATACCTGGTTCTCAATGTAAACAAAATGCCGGGCGTTTGAAATGGCGTCAATGTAGGCATTCGCAATAGAATGCTCGGTGGCGTGTCCCGCCGACCATTTAGTGCAGCTGTCCATATCAGCTAGGCTTCGAGCCGTGGGCAGCCATGGAGCACTCACCTCCTGGTCAGTTGAATATTGGCGGGCTCGTTCTCACGATGAGGACGTTTTGATGATTTCTCTTCATCACTACTGCTGTCGTCGTGCATGAACTTGTTGACACCCTTGCTGAAGCGGCCTGACAGACCACCCAGGAGTTGGCTGGGGTCCTGCTTGAGGAAGCCTCCGCGCTCATGCTCTCCGGATCTCCTATGGAAGCCCAGATGGCTGTGGCGAGGCTTGAACTCAATTCTCTCGTACTTGCCGGGGTTCTTGTGGGTGTACTTCTCGTCAAAGATGAAGTTCCTGTATAAGCGTCAGTCACTAGGTCAAGTGGACAACGATAGTAGATCTGACCATCGATCAGTGAAATGTTCTGTCAGGCTCTCCACAACCGGACCGTTCAGACTAAGGCTGACATCAGACCATCCCATACGCGAGCTCTTGGTGCGGTCCACTAGCAATGGTCAGTGCTACGGGGTTCAAAAGAGGGATGGCTGCCTGACGCTTATTTTGATTCCAGTTGCCGACGTCGGCAAAGTCGTAGACACGAGCATTGTTGTAGTCCTGGCCGGGGAAGACAATGGCATCCAGGTTGCCGGGGTGGGAGTCTGCAATCGGATGACCTGCAGCATGTCAGCGGGAGGTAGGACTGTGGTGCTCAAGTTTCGACTGACTGTTCGTGTCCCATCTGCCGAAACCTGTGTTCAAGTCAGCATTCCGGTCATCCGTCGAAAATCCTTTTCCGCTTACAGAGATCAAGTCCACCCATGAACGCCACTTTGCGGTCGATGAGGCACAGCTTCTCGTGGTGAGCCCAGAAGAGAACAACACCGTCGGTGGCCGTGCCGTAGATGGCCTTGAGAGCATCGCCCGAGACCTTTGAAAGGGTTGCCGTGTTCAGCGTCATGTTGGAGAAGCTCTGTCCCAGCTCCTTCTGAATGTCGTAGCCTGTAGGCACGTGGTCGGGGTGGCGGAACACGCTGATGTTAGGGTGCAGGCCTTCCAGATGCTTCCTGGTGTGCTGTGCGGGAAGTCAGTGGTGTCCACCTGATGGGAAACGGCCAGACACTTACAGCCGAGTTCACTACGAAGAAGAAGAAGAAGAGGTGTCAGCATGGGATACTCGCACACATGCATCGTCAGATGACTTACACGTCAACGCAGCCTCGACCCTCTCTGTAGACGATGATGCTGACCTTGACGCCCCTCTCGGCGGCCGCCTTGAGCATACTGTCAAGTCGGTACCGCTCGTTGGCAGCCGGGGGTCGGCGAAGATAGATCTCGGGGCTCAGCCACCAGTCAAGGATGTAGATGCTCTCACGGGCATCTGGGGAGGGCAGGGTCAGTGAGTGTGCCGGATCCATCGGAGAGGGGTCATCTACGCACTTTCGAGAGCTTCGGAGACAGCCCAGAAGTAAGAACAGCCGTCGACATACCACTTCGCATTGCCGGTGGACTGAGGGGCGAAGGATTGATAGCGGTTGGATGCATGATGAGTAGGATGGTGCTCGTGGCATTCGTGGCCGATCTTGGTATGGGAGTGTCGCTCGTCGCCAAAAATGGCGTCAATGCCGCGCTCAACCTTGCGGAAGATAGAATCCATGGCGAGATGGACGTCCCGTCAGGTCAAGAATCAGAGATGAGTATGGATCGGTGAACTCAATCTCGAAGACCCGAATCGCGAAAAAGCAAGTGCTGCACCTGCGGTATAAATCGCCCCAGAGTGGTTAGGTTGGTTGCAGTGGGCAGTGGCGGAGCCGTACGAGGTGTTGAGGACCCAATGTCAGCAGCAGCGCGCCAACATCAGCGCGAGCTGAGGCTGCTGATGGAATCGGCGTTTGCGGCCGCATGCGACCGGCTCTCAGCCCATGTCTCCTCCTTGATGCAGGCATTTGGCCGGCTCCCCGAACGGACTGATGCTTCCCATTAACCACCTCCGTTGCGGTCATGACTTTTGTCATCTCGGCCGATGACCAGTGCAATGGAAGGCCTGATCGCCCGCGAAAATTTCAAACTCATCGATGGAAAACTTGTCTTCGTGAACTGCGCTGTCGTTTTCCGTCGTGATGGGTGCCTTTATCAGGCTACGTCGCCCTGCCGCCAAGTCGCGCCTTCCTCTATACAAGATCTCCAGAACATCACGCCTATTGCCCCCGGGGATTACCAACCCCTCGTGCCCGACGATGCCTTCATTGCACATGACCCCGCACTCTACTACGTGAAAGTGCCAAACTTGCTGGCATACAACGGGCCTTCATCGCTTACACAACCAATACTGCAAGATCTTGCTGTTTGCGAGATGCTACGGAAGCGTCCTCATCCCAATCTAGCACAATACCATGGGTGCATCGTGTCGCGCGGCCGAGTGGATGGCTTATGCTTCACGCACTATCCCCAGTCGCTGACGTCTCTGCTTAATCCAGGGCACTTGAACAAGGTAGATTTCATCATCTCCCTCGAAACCCAAAAGCGGAGGGCCGGCACGGCACGGTATATCGACAGCATCGAACTGGGCCTTCGACATCTTCACTCCCTTGGCTTCAATCACAACGACTTGAACCCAGCAAACATCATGATCACCGAAGACGACATCCCCGTGATTATCGATTTCGACAGCGCCACAGCGCCCGGGGCAAGCCTTCAAAATGTGAAGCGCACGCATGGGTGGTTTGACCATCGTGTTGTTGTCTCGCAGCAAAGTAACGATCTGGATGCCTTGGCTGAGATTCGTACCTGGTTGACCGGTTCCTCTCCAAATGAGTATCGTTTTGATCTATGAATGAGCAGCTGCGAAGCCAAGAAAATATGAACTTGAATAGTGTGTCAAACAGCAAGCCCATGTGCCGTGAGGTCCAACATGTTTCACAGGCACAGGCACACCCTCTGCTAGCTGCTTCGTGGCAATGCCAAAGTCTTATCACCGACCTGGCTCTTGAGGCGTTCATGGCTTCGGCGTCGCGGCACAGATGCCGCAATTGCAGTGTCCATCCGGTCCGCCATGACAAAGACCGCAGGTGCTTGACATGGTCGTAGGGGTTTGAGATAGCGCGGGAGGCGAGCGTGCTGTTCAGGTGCTGTTGTAGTGAGAGACTGATACAGGTTTGAGATTGGCCGCAACAGAATACCTTCAGCTTTATGCAGCATCACGCGCGATCTTTCAGCAGGTGCGGAGAAGACCATGAACCTCCTTTCGGCTATCAGCATGAGTGGCTTGGTTGGTTTAGGCTTGCAGCTAGAGTACTTTGTTGATAACATTTAGATATGCCGCAGCTCCAACAATAGGGATTCTTCTTTGCTGACAGCATCCCAAAATTGGCAATCGACTCCATGCAGCAGTATGATGTTCGAAAGAAAGAAAGAATCTAAGCATGAAGGAAGCTGGTGATCACTCACGCACATGAGAGACCCCGAGCTGTTCGAACTGCGATCAGCAAACCTGCCGCCGCCGCAGCGGGGGCCAACGAAAACCAAGTATTGGCAATAGAACGACTTGACGAACACTTTCCGATCGTAGTTCGTTTATTGATTCGCATTCAGAGATGGTCGTGGGAAGTCGTCGGATGAAGTCGCTGTTAAACACTGGACAGGTGGATCGTTCTTATCTTATCGCAACTTTATGCTCACGCCCGATCCATGGGAAACAGAATTGAACCAGAATTTCGGTCCTGGCCATCGTCAAGTCCAAGCAGTGCACGACTGATTGCTCGCCAATCCTCCGAAGAAGCTGCCATGGCTTCCAGGTGCTCGAGTGGCAGTCACTCCTTATTTCTTCCCTTCTTGTATCCTTCTTGTTTCACATCGATCACAACCACTGTCCCCCGGTCCATCGCGAAGACCCTGAGCAACCCTCCCCGTCGCCACAGCTCTACACACGTGGCCCAAGAATCGACATCGTCGCGCCTGAACCCGGCACCCGAAGACTATGCAGCCCCGAATTTCGCTGACAAGGCGTCCCTGACGCTCTATGCCGGCGGTGGCGGCAATGGCTGCATCTCGTTTCTGCGCGACATGTTCCTGCCCGAAGGACCCCCAAACGGCGGCAACGGTGGCCACGGTGGGAACATCTACATTCAGGCCGTGCATGGCGAGACTTCTCTGCACAAGCTAGCTAGAAAGCGCTTCATACGGGCGGAGCGGGGGAAGAACGGTCAGGGAAGTGCCAAGGCGGGCCAGCGTGGTGAGGATATCATCATCACGGTGCCCGTAGGTACCATCCTGCGAGAAATCAGCCGAGAGGATCCCGTCGCTGAGGACATCACCTATCGCCGCGCCCTATACTACGAGCGGAAAGCATGGAAGACGAGAAAGCGCGAGCGGGAGGAGGAGGCTGCTGAGGCTGCCAGGCGCGAACTTCTTCGCGCGGAGGACGGCGAAGAGGTTGACGACCATGATCAGTCGGCAGCGAAGCAGAAGGAAACAGAGCTGGAGGACGACCCTGAGCCCGAAGATCCCGACCGCGAAAAGTTCCTCGTCTACCCCGGTGCCGCCAGGAGCGAAATCAAGAGTCTTGTCTTCCCCAAGGCCCCGCGCCGCGAGCGTTACTACCACCAGCCCCCTGGACCCCTGAACATCGACCTGTCCCGCCCGACCCCTACGCCTATCCTCCTCGCCGCCGGGGTTTGGCGGTCTCGGCAACCCACACTTCGTCTCTCGCGAGTACCCACGCCCCCTGTTCGCCACAAAGGGCGAACGCGCCGTCACCATGGAGGTCGAGCTTGAGCTGAAGCTCCTCGCCGACGTCGGCCTCGTCGGTCTCCCTAACGCCGGCAAGAGCACCCTCCTCCGTGCCCTCAGCAACTCCCGCACCCGCGTCGGCAACTGGGCCTTCACAACGCTGCAGCCCAACATTGGCACCGTCGTGCTCGACAGCTACAAGGGCCGCCCCGTCATGCGCTCCTTCAAGCGGGCGCCCTCGACGGAGAACGGCGGCGTCCTCCCCGCCGACGAGCATGAGCAGCAGGCCGAGGCGCGCACGCGCTTCACCATCGCCGACATTCCCGGCCTCATCGAGGGCGCCCACCTCGACCGCGGCCTCGGCATCGCCTTTCTGCGCCACGTCGAGCGCGCCGGCGTCCTGGCCTTCGTCATTGACCTCTCGGCCGGCAACGCCGTCGCCGCGCTCGATGCGCTGTGGAACGAGGTCGGTCTCTATGCGAGGATGCGCGAGGATGAGGAGCGCAGCCGCGAGGCCGACGCCAAGATCAACTGGGAGATCGAGGAGGAACAGCCCGCGCGGCCCAAGTACAAGGGCCGCTTCAGCGACCCCGTCATGATGGTCGCCGACGCGCCGGCTGAGCCGGAGCGCGTCTCGGGGCTGCACATTGCCTCGAAACCGTGGTATGTCGTTGCGACAAAGGGCGACAAGCCAGAGACGCAGGAAAATTTCAAGGAGCTGCAGGCCTATTTGGAAGATATCAAAAATGGCGTCAAGCCGCACCCGAGCGGCATTGAGGAGGCTTGGACGGAGCGGGTCACTGCCATCCCCGTCAGTGCCATCAATGGGCATGGTGTGGACAGGATTGTCCACTGGACTGTAGGATTACTAGACGACTAAAGCGGGGATCTGTAGGATAGTTGCAATCTGTGCATATCACCACTTTGTAAAACAACATGTATTAAAGTTTCATAGAGGAACACCACGTAACAACCAGCTCCTTAATTTTTTCGCGTTTTCTGTCCTTTCACGCAGTGGGTAGGGTATGTCAATGGAAGGGGCACATGACAGCACAGATGAAAGATATCTAGTCATATTGATATATGCTTCCGCAGTCTAAACCAAGACACTCAGGTCGTGCCCTTCCCAGTGGCCAAAGAACACCCATGATATCAACGAGAGATGCATGCCCAACCACAATGCTTGTATATCCGTCAACGCCTTGATCCCAACGCACGAAAAAGCCACCTCGCCCCAAGTCTTGTCTATACTCCCCGCCTCTAGAGAATGCCGAACCACCCCTTGACACGTTCATACGTGTAGAAGCTGACTGCCGCGAGAGGGACCACCTTGACATAGCCAATCGTCAAACCGATGAAGAAACCTGGCACACCACGTTCCCGGAAAATGAGGGCCGCCGTCTCGCCTATGCGCATGGGGTGGCCGTCGCCGACGGCGCCGCCGACCTGCATCCGCCGACGGATGACCTCGAGCGGGTAAGACGCAGTCTGCGAGACGAGGCCAGCGACACCGCCGGCAAGAAGCTCTGCCCATGAGCGGAGAGGCGCGGGCTTGCCGGAGGGATAATTCTCCCGGCTTCGGGAGGGTGGTGTAGGCGGCTAGGCGGGGGCTGCGGAGGAAATCACCGGCCGTGTCGTGGGTGAGGAAAGACATGCCGGCGTAGGGTAGCATACCCAGCAGGGTAGGGGTAAAGCCTCGGTAGAAGTTGGCGAGGCCAGAGCGAGGCGTGAGTGCGGCCGCGGCAGCTGAAGGTGTCGCCGCGATACCGGAGGCTGTAGTGGCTGTCGTGGCTGTCGCGAGCGATGGTTTCGAGGAGAAATTTTCAGAGTATATACGTCGGCAGATGGAGGTGAGGCTGGAATGACTGTGTTTTGTCTCAAATGCGAGGCGGACTCGGATGACCTCGAGGGGATATGTGAAGAAGACGGACGTGACGCCAGCCATGGAGCCGCTGATGAGGCGGCGCCAAGGCGTCTCCTGGTCGCGGTTACGGATAACGACAGAGCGAATCTGCTCGTAGGCGAGGAACTTGATGCCGGCGTAAGGAAAGATTCGAAGAAGAGTAGCCGAGTGCCCGCGGAAGAGGCCTGTGACACCATCTTGATGGTGGATATCTCGCATGGCGGTCACGACGCCGAACCATGAGCCAGTGTATTTAGCGAACTGAGGACTGCTCGCCTGGAACAGGATCTTCACTCGATCGAGAGGTGCAACGACGGTTTTGGCCTGCAGTTGGAGTCAGATAAAGACAATCAAGCCCGGAGTAACGACAAGATACATACGGCACACCCAGCAAGACCGCCAGCAACGCCTGAGCGCCATAAATAATCAAAGCTTCGAGTCTTCTTCCTCAGGGCTACGGTGTCGTCGTCATCGGTTGGGCACAAGGGCGGGTTCTTTTTGTCTGCTCTGGCCAGCACGACATCCTTTGCGCTGGCCATTGGAGGGGCATGTCCCAGGAGGGCGGAAGGCATCTATGGCTGGTTCCGGGGGTGGGATGGTAGTGCAGGTTCGGGAGGAGGGGTTCAGTGTTCGAGATGGTCGTACGCGCCTTCGTGGGCTTCACGTGTCGAAGGGCTTCGGTTGCTACCGAGACTGCATCTCCAGAGTCGCGTTCCAGAGAGGGGTTGGTGACAATGTGCAACGTCCTAGGTAGGCGTCTAGGTTCAAGGTTTCGAGGGCTACAGATCGTCGGCGAAGGGTCGAATTGTCAGAAACATCGGCCACACACATGGAATCTCGGTAGCAGAGGACTGCCAACTAATGGGAGGGTCGCCCGGCTTGCAACGGGGCCTGTAGGTCTGGAGAGGCTCCAGCGGTTGTTACAGGGCTTTTCCAGGTCGGGTAGCCTAGTTGAGACTAGCCTCCTCGCCATTCTTGCTGTGGTAAGTATTGGATGGGTTAATTCGCCCGGAAATTCATTCAGTCTCGACAATACTTTAAAGCAGCGACACTCGGCTTTTGGAGGTGTACAGGTGGAGAGGACGTCATTCGCATCTAGCGGTCTTCTGACTGGCCAAAGTCCGTTGTGGAGGTGGGTCTTCCGGAGAAGAGGAGCCTTTACACGGTGTCGCTCTTGCCGAGGATTACCGCGCCCAAGCCGAGCCCTGGGACGGGAGAGATCTAGCCCCCTCATCGTCTCTGCCTGTCGAACGTCAGGGGTCTTTACACCATTACTCATCCGTCACGCGACCATCGTCGACCTTCATCGGTAATCACGCTCCCAGTTCTAGAGGCCGATTTCGCTGGCATTGTGCGCCGTGAGGCTAAACTCGATTCAGAAGGTCGATTGAGAAACCCAATTGACACACACCTGATGGAGGTCAACGCCCTTCATCACCATATCGCCGGGTGGCTACCAATACACACTTACGACGTCCACAGATATATAGGTCCCTTGAGGTAGACAATATATGGCCGTTCTGCCCATCATGTTCAAATCACTATATGCGTCGTGGTTCTTGGTGGTAGACACTTGGCAGCGACCGCTGTGAAGTTATTGATCACCATGAACGCCAACGGCATCAGTTCTGTTGCTGTAGCTATGTGCTGTGTCCTCTGTTTATCTCTATGGATCATTCAAAGGCACCAAAGCCGTAGAGGGAAGCAGCGAGCATCGAGGACACATGTGGATGTCGCTTCCGTGAAGCCACTGGTGGATTTTCACTGGAAATCAGCCAAACTACCATCGTTACGAGAATTTCGATCCATCTATAACATCTCCATGGGTATGAACTCTCGGTGGGACTATCGAGTTCGGCATTCATCTAACATATCAAGCAGGCATCAAGTCAGATACGCCTTCAGCCCTCATCTCCATGGATGAGGGGTACCTCGAGCGAATCGAATATCGACGAGAACTCATGGCCGAACATGCTGGCACGGTGCTGGGTGTTGTGCCTGGCGGAGAAGCCCCCGTACGCGAACTCTATAGTTACTTGCTGAGGCAGTATCTTCCGGTCCGGTTCCCTTTGATGTTCCAGCTCTCCGCTCAAGACGCGCAACTTACCAATTCGGTCACGGGGCGATCATTTCCCACCAAGCCACCGGCTGAAACCCTAGAGGCATTGCGCATCCTCGGTGAAATCGTGGAGGAAGACCTTGTGTTCCTCGTGCCGTCGCCGGAGGGGCTTCGTATGGTTGCACACCTTTGGTGTTTCCCCTCGGGGTTTGACCCTGTTGCGAAGTTGGGCAATACCTTGGACGCCATCCACAAGCCGGTACCAAGCTATGAAAAGATTGGGCCCAGCATGCAGCGCTTTCTCTCGAAGCTGCAGAGTGGAAAGCCCATCAAACGCACAAATGTCAGTGTCTCTCGGAGATCTGGTCTGGGTTTGGTAGCTGATTACGATGCCTCCTACAGTGGTCTGTGCAGCCTCATCCTGAGCTGTTCGATTGCAACGCAAATCGGAGATTAAAGGACTACAAAGCCATAAAAAGCAGTGACATAAGAATGGAAGATGTAAGCCAACCTGCTTCACCACACCCCTCACACTGTTGCTGCCATTTCTTCTGCTGCTGACGGTTGACAAATGATACAGAGTTATTTGCGCTCTGAATTGCAGACTTTGAGCCGTCTGCCGAACACGGAGGCGGTTGTATTTTTTATCAAAACGTACATGTACAGTGTTTCCGAAATCAAAGCAGAGGGCCTCGGCCCCCAGTTCGCCGAAGCTATCGAGGGGCTGAAAAAGGGCAATGCGCCAGGCATGTGGACCTACAAAGGTGCGTCGCACTGGGGCGAAACTGTTTGCAAATACATGCGTTCTTGATGAGCGCCTACCTCGGACTCATGGCTATTGAAATAGAGACACTGCTTTCATGCTTTGTTGTTAGACTCACCAGCGAGGATTGTCCGAGCCAAGCACTCGAGGGGCGGTGGTCTCCATCAGACTAAGCCGTTTAGACCCCGCCGTCGACTCAGTCGATGACAATGTCCGATATTCGGGCTAGCCGGTACAAACACCGATGCGTGCTATGCAGTCAAACAACGCTGCTCGTGATTTCACAACTCTTCAGAGTGAGGTTATATGACCACAGAGAGTACGATACAAGCACACAAGAATATGCAGAGAAATATTCGAATTGACTCATTGCCAGCGAATCGTCGGTCGGCATCAAAAGGTCGGTTCCCAGATGAGCAAGTCGTTGAATAGACCACAAAGGCTGACATGACAGATTGCCGATACTGTGTTGAACGACGCATCAGATGTGACCGGAGCCTACCGACATGTCTGAAGTGCAAGAGTCGAGAACTGAGATGCCCAGGGTTTGGACCCGTCAATGTGCGATGGAATCAAGGGATCGCTAGCAGGGGCAAGTTCTCCGGCAGGCGCAAACCGGTCCTCGATGATCTCGCCAGTGGATCTGATGTTTCAGCAAATCAACATCGCGATCTGAAGGCAACATTCGAGTCTGATATCGTAGACAGACAACTCCAGACTCACAGCCCCACAGAGGGCCAGCCGGTACAAGACCTACGGCTCATCAATTCTCACTCTTCCTCCGCACTTTTCAGTAGCCTTCTCCGCCACTTTCAAGCCGAGGTCGTCCCTCGTTTGACATGGGTCGATCCTCCGGAGAGTCCGTGGAGGCAGATGACCAGAAACAACACCCGGCATCCCACTTGCCTCCACTTGTCCATCGGCAGCCTTGCTGCCGCTCACCTATCTATCGCTTCCGCCAGAACACCAGACCAGAAGGCTCGTTTCCGTCGTATCCACCATCAGCTCCACGACGCGGCACTTCGGGGGCTGAACCAGAGAATGCGCAAAGAGCTGCATTCTTGTAGCACATCACGAGGAGCTCACCCGCCTAGCTCGGCGGTTCAGGAGATTCTCGCGACAATGGTTGCACTTTGCTATTCTGAAGCTTTCATTCCAGGATCAAAGAACTGGAATATCCACTTGCGAGCGTGTCGCACCGTAATTGATTCTCAGCATCTACCAAATGGAAATTCGCATCATCTCAACCCAGTCCAGAGGTTTCTGCTGAAAGAGGTTGCGGATCTGGAGACATTGAGTAACATTTCAGTCTTCAGCCAAGGAACAATTGAATCACATGGACCGCCTCTGCAGTCTATCTATGATGGCTCTTTCTGGGCTTTCACAGGGCTCGTCTACGAAATCACAACCGAGGAACGTAGACGACATCGCGCTCTGCAAATGCAATACCGAAATGGCCCTGAAGTGAACATGGCAGAGTGGCGCAAAAGATCGACAAGGCCTACATACTCTCTCTAACTCCTGTCCTTTTTTCTGCAGGAGGGAAGTCTTTTAAACAGCAGAGTCTTTGATGCAGTTGCTGAAGGGCCACTACTATATA